TATATCTTGATTTTGTTTACATGTATTTGCACAGAGCATTTTTCTCATCACAGCAGAGGAACATTCATGCAGGGTTACTATGACTGAATAATATTTGATGGGCGGATGGTCATTGTCCACAGTAGCCCTGAGGGTTTACAGCGCGATGGAAAAGCCGAAGTTTCACCATGAGGGTTCATGATAGAAGTATGTGTCATGTGTCCATTAAACAAAGCGTTCCATCCTGAGGGGAAAAAAAAAAAAAAAATCCAAAATGGAGTCAAAACATTTGCACAAAAGCGATACATAACTTTCTTTCTTGTATTTCTTTTTTCTCAAGTGAGCGGGTTTCTTACCTATGCCTTCCATCATCAGTGAAACCGCCTCCTCTTTTCTGCATACCTGTTTTCACGCAGACTAGTCATACCTGTTGCAAAGAAAAGTAAAGTGCCTTCAAGCTATCTACACTGACCAAGAAACACTGCTCACTGCTTCCTGGAACTAGATTTGTCACTTGCCATGGCATACCAGACTTGACAGATCCACACCTTTTCACAATCTCAGCCTGAGCTCTTGTGATAGGCGTGAAAAAAAAAAAATCAGGAGAGGCTGTAGAGAGTGTAATGCTGCCTCTTGATTGAGAGCGAGCAGTTGCTCCCAGCTCATCCATCAACAAGTGTGGTTTACTGTTTTAACACCTATGCCTAACCATGTTGTTTTTGGAGTCTAAACCTAACTAACAAGTGCTTCCGAAGTTGCTTAAAAGTGACCTGAGATTTAAGAAAATGCATCTAATTCATTTATCAGCGCATCTTCCTTCTAGTGAGAACTGTTCTACTGATTCCAAAGGCACTCACTTGTTCTCCACCCCAACAGATCAGCAAGGCTGTGATCAGTGTCCCCTGCAAAAGAAAAATATTGCATTCAGTAAAGCACAATGATGAAAACTTGTTTAACACCAAATTCAGCTGCTTTTTATGTTAAAACAACTACAGGTTAAATGAGTTTCATTCTTAGGAAAAGTGGAGCAAAAATTCTTGGCATACTGTTTGTCAGAGCAGCATTTCTCCGTCCCATCAGACCCAGAAAGCTGTCATAACCGATGTCATCAAATCTCTTCAAATCACGGTCCGATCCAGCCTTGGGGGACAGTGAAAACGAGTTACAGTGGGGCATAAAAGTATTTAGTCAGCCACCGATTGTGCAAGTTCCCCCACCTAAAATGATGACAGAGGTCAGTAATTTGCACCAGAGGTACACTTCAACTGTGAGAGACAGAATGTGAAAAAAAAAAAAAATCCATGAATCCACATGGTAGGATTTGTAAAGAATTTATTCGTAAATCAGGGTGGAAAATAAGTATTTGGTCAATAACAAAAATACAACTCAATACTTTGTAACATAACCTTTGTTGGCAATAACAGAGGTCAAACGTTTACTATAGGTCTTTACCAGGTTTGCACACACAGTAGCTGGTATTTTGGCCCATTCCTCCATGCAGATCTTCTCGAGAGCAGTGATGTTTTGGGGCTGTCGCCGAGCAACACGGACTTTCAACTCCCGCCACAGATTTTCTATGGGGTTGAGGTCTGGAGACTGGCTAGGCCACTCCAGGACTTTCAAATGCTTCTTACGGAGCCACTCCTTTGTTGCCCGGGCGGTGTGTTTTGGATCATTGTCATGTTGGAAGACCCAGCCTCGTTTCATCTTCAAAGTTCTCACTGATGGAAGGAGGTCAAAAGGTTCAGAAGGATGTATATTAGTAGTAGTAGTATTTATTTATTGTCATTGTCAAGAACAATGAAATTGCGTTTGGGGCTTCCATACAACCCAAAAAAGAAGAAAATAATAAATACCCCTTAAAACCCAAGTGTACATATTTAACCCAGTGTGACTCCAATGCAATAGACAATCCTTAGCAATAACATGAGAACCTGACAAGTAATGTTGGTAGAAATTCAGACAAAGACCTGAGAAACATGACAAAGTACAACAGTGCAACCCATTCAATATTATTGTACTGTGAGATATGATATCAGATATGATAGTTATCTATTTAAGAAAGAGGGGGGGGAGGAGGGGGAAGAGAATAAAGATATGATGCACCAATGCAGACCAGTTCATTGCTATTAAGAAGTTGGATATGGTTATTGTCCGTGAGAGGGGGGCAGAGAGTTCAGGAGCCTCACAGCCTGTGGATACAGGCTGTTGGCCAGTCTGGATGTTCTGGCCTGTATAGACCTGTACCTTCTCCCTGAGGGCAGCAGATGGAAAAGGTGGCGCGCAGGGTGATGTTGGTCCCGCAGGATACTGTGCACCCTCCTCAGACAGCGAGTGGGGAAGATATTACTGATCTCTGGCAGACTTGTTCCAATAATTCTGCCAGCTTCTTTCACCACCCGCTGGAGTGCTTGCTGATCGGCCTTGGTGCAGCTGGGGAACCACACTAGAAATCCATACGTCAGAACGCTGCTGATGGCACAGTTGTAGAAGTTCAACATCAGAGATCTGGGAATGTGTGCGCTCCGCAGTCTCCTCAGGTAGTAGAGGCGCTGTTGGGCCTTCCGTGCAACTGAGGTGATATGGTTGCCCCAGGACAGGTCCTCGGTCACAGTTACCCCCAAGAATTTAAAACTGCTCACCCTCTCCACCGCCTCACTGCCAATGAAGAGAGGCAGATGGTTGTTATGACCCTTCTTCCGGAATCTACAATGATCTCCTTGGTCTTTTTGGTGTTTAAGACCAAGTTATTGTCGTGGCACCATGACTCTAGTTGTTGCACCTCTGTCCTATAGTTTGTCTCATCGTTGTTGGATATAAGTCCGGCATGTCATTCATCGCACTTAACAACGGATCAGTCGTCCTGTCCCCTTGGCAGAAAAACAGCCCCATAGCATGATGTTTCCACCCCCATGCTTCACAGTAGGTATGGTGTTCTTGGGATGCAACTCAGTATTCTTCTTCCTCCAAACACGACGAGTTGAGTTTATACCAAAAAGTTCTACTTTGGTTTCATCTGACCACATGACATTCTCCCAATCCTCTGCTGTATCATCCATGTGCTCTCTGGCAAACTTCAGACGGGCCTGGACATGCACTGGCTTCAGCAGCGGAACACGTCTGGCACTGCGGGATTTGATTCCCTGCCGTTGTAGTGTGTTACTGATGGTGACCTTTGTTACTTTGGTCCCAGCTCTCTGCAGGTCATTCACCAGGTCCCCCCGTGTGGTTCTGGGATCTTTGCTCACCGTTCTCATGATCATTTTGACCCCACGGGATGAGATCTTGCGTGGAGCCCCAGATCGAGGGAGATTATCAGTGGTCTTGTATGTCTTCCATTTTCTGATGATTGCTCCCACAGTTGATTTTTTCACACCAAGCTGCTTGCCTATTGTAGATTCACTCTTCCCAGTCTGGTGCAGGTCTACAATACTTTTCCTGGTGTCCTTCGAAAGCTCTTTGGTCTTGGCCATGGCGGAGTTTGGAGTCTGACTGTTTGAGGCTGTGGACAGGTGTCTTTTATACAGATGATGAGTTCAAACAGGTGCCATTCATACAGGTAACGAGTGGGGGACAGAAAAGCTCTTACAGAAGACGTTACAGGTCTGTGAGAGCCAGAGATTTTCCTTGTTTGAGGTGACCAAATACTTATTTTCCACCCTATTTACGAATAAATTCTTTACAAATCCTACCATGTGAATTCATGGATTTTTTTTCACATTCTGTCTCTCACAGTTGAAGTGTACCTCTGGTGCAAATTACTGACCTCTGTCATCATTTTAGGTGGGGGAACTTGCACAATCGGTGGCTGACTAAATACTTTTTTGCCCCACTGTAGCCTTTTGCTCAGTGTTGTTATTTTTTCAACTTCTTATTTAATATGTTTGCTGAAGTGGCTGCGAAGTTCTGCGTGGAAATGTGAGTGCATCTCATTTGACTTAGTCATACCTCTGTCAGTGGATTGTAGGCCTTTTCTTCACAACAGCACCTCACAGTCAGTAAAATGAAGATACTCAATGCACCCAGTGAAAAATGTGTTTCCTCCATTACTTCACTGAACTGTGAATCACTGGATTAAAGGTAAAAAGAAAAACAAAAGACATAAGTAAGCTACAAGTGAATTTACACATTAGGGAATCAGATGGGAGGCGTCTCCATGTATCTGTGGTTAAGGTGTTCTTTGTTCTATGTTGAACTGTCCTCCACAACACTTAGCGATCTGTTGTGTAACTTCAGTTTACAACGATGCAGCAAAGCTGTTTGAGTATAGTTAAATACTGCTTCTTTAAGGCACCAGTTTATCTTAGTGGTACTCATCTGCCTTGTGCAGAACTGTGGCATTCATTTTCATATAGTTGTATGAATGATGCATATCAAATTATTGTTGACCCCAGAGTGTCTTAAAATATGAGTTTTTGAGTATTTGGTTTAAAGCACATCTATTTTTGCATTTGGCTCAAATATAAACATTTAATATGTAGCAGCCTAGGCCTATTACTACATAACTTAGGATGGATTTAGGGTCACCTGATACAGCCCTAACTATAAGATTTATCAAAAAGGAAAGTTTTAAGCCTAATCTTAAAAGCAGAGAGGGTGTCTGTATCCTGAATACAAATTGGAAGCTGGTTCCACTGAAGAGAGGCCTAAAAATGGAAGGCTCTGCCTCCAATTCTACTTCAGAACACTCTAGGAACCACAAGTAAGCCAGCAGTCTGAGAGTGAAGAGCTTGATTCAAAGTGACATGGTACTGTGAGGTCTTAATGAGGCCTGATTATTCAAGACGTTACATATAAGGAGAAGGATTAAACATTCAATTCAGGATTTCACTGGGAACCAAGCATATATTTATTAGTATCAGATGTAGCCATTCTTGTATTTTGCTTGTTTATATTATTGTATTTTGCACAACTCTGTTGCTTGTGAAGCTCGCACACAAGAATTTCACTCACATGTACTGTACCAATGTACCTGCACATGTGATGTGACAATAAAAGTGATTTGATTTGAGAAGCTAGTATAGGAGAAATATGCTCTTCCTTTCTAGTCCCTATCAGTACTCTTGCTGCAGCATTTTGGATCCACTGAAGGCTTTTCAGGGAGTTTTTAGACATCCTGATAATGATGAATTACAGTAGTCCAGTCTCGAAGTAACAAATGCAGGAACTAGTTTTTTCAGTATCACTCTGGGACAGGATGTTGCCATCCAGAATAAGCATCTGGCTGGATGTCAGATTTTTATGGCTGAGTGCAATAACCTCAGTTTGATTTGAATATAGAAGCAGGAAATCAGATATCATCCAGGTCTTTATGTCTTTAAAGACACTCATGCAGTTTAACTAACTGGTGTGTGTCATCTTGGTTCATGGATAGATAAAACGTGGTTTTAGATGCATAGCAAATATCTGCCCACTGATTAGCCTTAAATATTATGTCAGAGTCTCTAAAGGCCTAATACTGGTTTGGTAAAGCTTCAATTTGCTTCTGTGGCATCACCATCATCATATAAAGTCCATTAACTTTTGTGTGAATTATGTAATCTATTAATCTATTCTGCTGTCCATGACCACAGCCATTTCTTCATAAAATAATTCACTTGTTCCCTTTTATTGTGCTTCAAATGACTTTGTAGATGTCATGCTGTTAACAGCAAGACATTCTTCCAGAATTTCATGAGCATTCCTCTTGAATTTTGTATGTTACAGCTGAAACCCAAGCTTACAGTGAACTTTCTCTAGTGTGTTCATAACAGAATACAGAGTAAACACTACTGTTTCAGTGCTTCCTCTAACACCTTTTGAACTAATAACCACGTCAGCTGGATATGGACAATACACAACATTGTCTATTGTCTGCCTAGGCTCAGGGCAGACCAATGACTGGCTGGAGAGATCATATTTCTCAGATGGCTTAAGACTCTCTGCTCGAACTGCTGCCCACGCAACACAAACCCAGATAAGTGATAGAAGGATGGCATTGTCTATTGTCAATCTCTGTCAAATAAACGTCAAATACTTGTCTATTAGCCAACATGAGCAGTTCCTATTTTATTGTTTACATTTTTTTCTCTCTTTTCAGAAGTCTAAGGAGCTTAACCTTTGAAACATTATGCTGTTCATAAAAACTTGAAAGGTGCTTGTTGACTGAGCAAACACCATGTAGATGAAGTATTGTGCCACACCTCTTAATCTTTGAATTCAGTTGTATTCAAAGACAAAAGTCAAATACGTAGCCACGCAGTCCACCTTTACAAATATTTATGAAGGAATGGGTGAGTGCCACTGTTAGCACTCACTCCCGCAGTCCAGCGACATGGAATTACTGGTAATTCTATATGCCTGTAGGTGTGAGTGCAAATAGTTGTCTGGCTCTTTGTGTTAGCTCTTTGTGATAGTCTGCAGCCTATCCCAGCTGCAACCAAGTTGCGATGACGAGTCGCTGAGTCCTGAGGTGGAAAAAGGTGAGCTGAAAGGCTACAAACTTCTTCTGGCATCAACACAAAAACTGTGCTAGGAGCTTCATGGCATGGATTTCAATGTCTGAGCAGCTCCTGCAGCTGTGATGTGTAGGTATGCCATATTTTGTGCATATAGTATGACAATTATTTTTATTTGCTATCACTCCATTGCTTTTTACCTATACTTATATTTATCTATTCTCACCTCATCCCATCTCAACTGGCTGCTAGAAATATGAATAATTAAGGAATAATATAGCAAGTTTTAAATAATCAGATAACTATAGTGCATCAAGTGATACATTTTGACCTAATTGCTTATGATTTAAGTCAAAATGGAATAAAATAGCCATGGAGTATTGTGTTATCACATAATCCCACATTATAATTTAATTCATGCAGTCAGCCATGTAAAGACTCATGTAACGAACCAAAAGTGTAAAAAATCTTACCCTGAGCTGATCTTTATGTATAAACCAACAATCACTCCAGCTTTTCCCTTTGCATCAGAGCAGCGCCATGTCACGTTGAAGCCTGTCTTTTAAGACAGCAGGATTTCTCTTTCTCAAATTTTATATAGCTTGAGTTAATTTTTAATCTGATTAGCACTCCACCCACCACCCAAAACTCTGTCCCACCCTAGCACATGTATACACATAATTTGTTGTAACTGCCTCATTAGATGTTCCTCATTGAAAAAATGATATTTTTTTCCCATTAAGACATAAAAGAAAAAGGCAAAAAATCTACACAAATCTAACAATAAAGCTAAATGTTTCATCCTCATGTGGATAAAACTTTGGCTTAAACATTAAAAGAAAAAAAAGAAAGTAATCTGGAGCTTATTTGTATGCTGAATTGTGTACAGACCTTTGTCCATTCCTTATTTAATGCAAGAGACATTAAAAGAAAATGTTTAATGTGGTATATAATAGCTTTGTGACATGGTGCATCATCCAGCTGGAAGCAGCCATCGGAAAATGAATCATACTTTTTTATCTATTCATTATGTGGAATAGGTTTTGCTCGATTATCTTGTTAGAGTTACTCTTCTGTATCTCTCACATGAAATCTCTGTCACTGAAATGCATGCTCTTTAAGAAAACGAAACACAGTGTCAGATGGCTTACAGTAACATGTTTGAAGCTTTAGTTTACGTTTGTGGTCAGGGTGTGAACTAACGTTTTAGGGCGTTGTAGCTTGCAGATATTTGTTGCCTGTTACTCTTAGGATGACTTGTGTTACAGTGACAGACATTCACAAGAGCAAATTTAAAGATGCGTGTGTTTTTAATTATTTAGCATCGCTGCTCCCTTTAATGTAATGAGTGACATCACCACATTAAATGTGAACATATATGAGCATGTAGTGTTTGCCACAAGACATTATGAAACTTGTTCATTCCAAAGTAAGTGCCATAAAGTTTTAACTATTATCTCCTGTCAAACATGTCAGTCAGCCTTCCTGTTTGTCAAACACTACAGTTTATTTGCTCCACAGAGTTCCACAGAATTGGTTGCTCGTTGCTAGGAAAAACTATTTGCATTAGAGATTTTCCCTTGGGCAGTTTTGTTTACCATATGCCACAAAACACAACGTATGTTGTCATTGCTATGAAAATGAAACCCAGCTTTAGCTATCCGTGCAGCCAGATGACACATGCAAAATTTAAGCTATTACTTATTAGACATAATGACTGGGATGACCACTAAATTCAGACAAAACTGAGGTTATTGTAAAAATCCTAGAAACATGGTGTCTAACCAGGTGGACTTGTTTTTGACCAGGATATCTTCTTCAGTGTGCACATTAGACAAATATACATATATATATTCTTGCATTTGTGCAGAATCTCTAAAATTAGAGTAAATAATCAAACCCCGTCTCATCCTAAAGACCTCATAGTAATCCAATAGAGCACTTCGCTCTCAGACTGCTGGCTTATTTGTGGTTCGTAAGGTATTTAAAAGTTGAATGGGAAGCAGAGCCATCAGCATTTAGTTCCTTCTGTGAAACCAGTTCTCTCTGTGAGTTTGTAATTGGGAGACAGACACCCTCTGCTTTTAAGATTGGTCTTACAACTTTTTTTTTTTTGGATAAATCTTATAGTTAGGACTGGATAAATTGACCCTCAATCCACTCTTAGTTACACTGCAACAGGCCTATGCTGCTGGTGACTTCCCATGATGCAATGGTTCTTCTTCAGTCACCTTTTTTTACTCACTATGTGTTCTCTCTAGATTCACTCTCTAGATTTTAATTATTACTTATTATTAATCTCTGTCTTTCACCTGTCTCCCACCCCTCACCCCCAACTGGTCGCAGCAGATGGCCTCCCTGAGCCTGGTTCTGCTGGAGGCTTCTTCCTGTTAAAAGGAAGTTTTTTCTTCCCACTGTTGCTGAGCGCTTACTCATAAGGCGTTGTCTGATTGCTGGGGTTTTCTCTGCATTATTGTAAGTACATTGAGGCGATTGTTGTCGTGATTAGGTCAGATTATAAATTAAACTGGACTGAATTAAATTACAGTGCCAACGGCTCATCAGTGGCTTGATAAGACAGAAGAAACACCCCTACAGACTCATCACATGCAGAACAATTGGTTTCGTTTTCTTTTTGTTTTAATTTTAAATGGAAAATATTTTTAACACTTTTATTCAATTTGTCGGTGGTTAATTTGATAAATTGATAATGCTTTATTGATAGCTTTATTTATTTTCAAATGACTCTAGCAGTTAGCAGTAGGCATCACCCAGCTAACTCTGTCCATAGTTGCTGAAACCTGGTATTAGCATCTCTTAAACTTGATCTAGAATGTTAACGCTTTCATTTTGTACAGAACATGAAATGCATGGAGAACAATTCATCTTTCGCTGAAGGACTTTGTCATTCAGACACAAATAAAAGTTCTGAGCTTTTCTATTTCTTTCTTCTTCTTCTTTTAACCTCAGTTACTTTGAATTCAGTTTTGCCATAGGCAAAAATATTCTATTGCAACAATAAATCTAAATGTTTAAAGTCTTTCTAACTACACAAAAACAAATACTCATTAGTATCACGGTATCATGGCTGCAGTCGTGCTCAGTCATATATTGCACAAACAAAGTGAAGCAGGCACTTAAAAAACCTGTGGTTCAAAACCTGTTGATGTAAATAAAGTGCTCCACTTATATGAAAAAGCTTCTGAGGATTTTTTATTGGACCCTAGGGTCTTAATCATATCCATATGTGTCATTTCCACTGAATTCCTTGCAGAAATTACTGTGTAAGCAATCAGTCCTCTAATTAGACATTTTATATAATTTATCAACCACATTAAATAGGACCGCTTTCCTGTGCAAGAGCGTCATATATTTGTGTTGTACACTCATCGGTCACTTCATTAAGAAATCTTGCTGCTATCTTGATTGAGCTCCTTTTTCTTTTAGAACTGCACTAATTCTTCATGGCACAGATTCAACAAAGTTTTTAAAACTTTGATTCATACTGACACGACAGCATCACACAGTTGCTCCATATTCATCATCTGCACATCCACGATGACACTCTCCCCTTCTACCACATCCCTAATCTGTTCTGTTGGGATGTAAATAGTCAGCAACTAATACTAATATTTAAAAAATAGGTGAAACATTCAAGTGGTTCATATTTCTTGCGTCAGATGTAAAAAACAAAAACAAAAAACAGACAGCGTTCTTTTCAGAACATTTTCACGACTTGCTCGAATCATTAAGTCTGTGAAGGTTCTCAGTCATCTAGGTCATCGTAGTCAAAGGAGCTTGCAAAGAAAAGCGTCTGGACTTCTTTAAGTTGCTTGAAGACGTTTCACCTCTCATCCGGTCAAACCAGATTTAAACCCAGTGGGAGAGGTGAAAACATCTTCAAGCAACTTGAAGAAGCAGAAGTTTTATTTATATTGACATCTGCTCCCATGAAAAAGAAAATATTTCCAACATCACCCCCTAGTGCCAAGAAATCCTCCTATCACACATTATGCCAGGCATTTCATTAGGTACACTTTGCTACTTTTGAGTTGCACCCACTTTTACCCCCAGAACTGCCTTAATTCTCATGCCATTGAGTCAACATGGTGCTGGATACATTCCTCAGAGATTTTTGTCCATTTTTACATAATTGCATGACAGCATCACACATGCTTCAAATTTGTTGGCTGCACATCCATGATGTGAATCTCCCGTTCACCCACATTTCAAAGGTTTTCTGTCAGATTGAGCTATGGTGGCTGTGGAGGCTGTTTGAATAGGGGGAACTCATTAACATCTTCAAGAAACCAGTGTGAGAGGATCTGAGCTTTGTGTGTTATCCTGCTGAAAGCAGCCATTGTAAGATGGGTAGTCAATACTGTGATCATAAAGGGATCCAAAGTGGTATGCTATGAAATATTTTCACACCATTAGCTGACATCTATGGTGTCTTCTGCAGTTGTAGCGCATCTTCTTTAAAGATGTGATGTCCTGTGTGCACAGAGATGCTTTTCTACATATCTTGGTTATGATGAGTAATTGTTTGAGTTACTGCTGCCTTCCAATCAGCTTGAAGTGGCCTGCCCATTTTTCTCTGACCTCTGCTCATTTTCTAAACCCTAGGGATGGATGTGTAGTAAAATCTCAGCAAATGCACAGTTTCTGAAATACTCAGACCAGCTAGTGTGGCACCATCAACCCACTACATTCAAAGTCATGTTTCATCCTTATGCTGATGCTTAGCAGAGCTTCAGCAGGTCTTCTTGACCTAATAAAGTGGCCAGTGAGTGCATATATTTAAGAAACTATTGCTGGTTAACATAAATGGGCCAAAACAATCTGCTCATATGATATGATTGATTATCGTCTAATTGGAAGCAGCTCTGAATTTTATGTGTCTGTGCAGAGCGTTATATTACTGAATTACCAGACATGCAAGAATGACAACAGGACTTGTGAACACATGAAATGAATGATTAACTTTTTTTTTATTTATGTTTGTTTTTACATTTTTTTATGGTAGTTGGACAATTTTGTTCTGAATGATCTTATTTATTTGTAGGACACTCATTGACATACATGGAAATTTAAAACTTTAACTCTAGAGTGTTATCGGAACCTACAAGGAACCTATTACTACTGGAAACTATAAGTGTGGGAGAACATAGGGATGTAAAACCTAGTTTTCCAAATTCTGGAAGAACACTGAACAAGTCTGACATGCTTCAGTCCACTACTGACTGGTTAAATGCAATAATATCACTCTCTGTCACATAACCTGAATTTGCTGAATAAGTGGGAGAAATCCATGTGGAACCTCAGAGTGAGTCCCGGGGAGGCCAGTTTTGATGTCTATTTAAGTTACCGAATACGGTTCCTCACCAAATATAGGTTATTCCTGTTATTTGAGAGTTCTTCAGGATTCTAACAGGGTAAAGCTATTTTTGTGTAAGGGTAAAATCGGTGTGTAAAGAACAAAAGAAAGAGAGTAGCCATAATGAGTGAGTGGTATAGGATCAGGAGAAGAAGTTAAGTTCTTTGGATAAGAAGTTCTTTTGTGCTT